ATGGTATGGTATGGTATGGTATGGTATGGTATGGTATGGTATGGTATGGTATGGTATGGTGCTTAATTAGTGGGCCTCTGCAGACCTTGATGGCAAACTGAGAAGGTAAATCATCTATTTGAATCAGCTGTGTTGAAGCAGGGACAACTCTAAAACTTGCAGGAGACTGGCCCTTGAGGACCAGAGTTGGACATGCCTGACATAAAGAGAATGTAAAACTGTATTATGTATAATGATCCTTACATCCATTACTATATTTACTCATTTCTTTCATTCTGGATCACCATGTCCAACACAGGTTGCTTTATGTGTCCATCAAAGGGACACATAGGCTACGCTCACACTGCAGGCAAATGAAACCATGACAGGCTGAATGGGATAAATCMTTTTTTTTATTCAACCCAGGGCCTCTTCAGTGTGTGGTACTAAATCTGATTTGATGATTTTCAAAGCAACCTCAGTCTGAACATTCATGTCACATTTCAACTGATTTTTAAGTCACTGAGGTGGGGGTATACAGATAGATCCAAGTATTTAAAATATTGATCAACTTTAAATCTTTTAGCTCCACGTCTTCAGCTGCAGAACACAATCCATTTGCTTCATCTTTGTTCTTTTAATTTTCMATGTCCTCAATGACAATCCACAGGAATACATGATAGTAAAATCGATGCAAAGTTACTCAATCGATACTTCAAACACGTCACTYCTGTTCCATAAATACTCGATGCACCGGAGCAGCCGGACAGAGGCAGGTTCAAATGAAAACAGTRAACTAAATAATTTATTTAATCAGCTCTGCTTGAACAAGTTTAGAATCGACATGCTAACATGTASCATCCATGTTTACTTCTGTTAACAGCGAGCTGAATGTGACGTCACATAATTTTTCTGCGCATACGGGTTGCATCAAATCTGTGGAGAGTTCACACAGGAGTCATGGACTCTGTTGAAGTTTAAAAAGATTGGATTGATTTTACCCAATCGCCAACATTTGGCCATGACATATGCAGTGCACCAGCACGACTGTGCTGGTGCACTAAGAAGCTAATCGGAATATGCGTGTGCTGTAAACTACCATCCCTTACTGGGAAAAGAGAAATACAGAGCCAAATGAGATGGCTGTAAATGAGCATTGCAGTCTTTGTGAGACAAAATTATTTTAATTTTGAAGCCTTGTCAACATGGACTAGCTTCATTCACTTCCTTTTGCTGCCATTGGTAAACTACAGGCAGAATAACAGCGCAGAAAATTGACATATTCGTTCACAACTCCTCCTCCTGTTCACTGATTGGCCCAGTTGAAATACTACCTCACAAATCCTTGCCAATGGAAGAAAGCCCAGATGGAGCAGAGAAGAGCGATTAAAATTGAGTTAAGGCAATGGCCAGGCTACCACTTGTCAACATCAATTGCAAGCAGCTGATAAATGTTTTGGCTTTTCTATATAACCTAAAATGCATCAATGTATTATACGATGTACCAATAAAATGTGATTTGTGTAATGATTTATTAAAAAGCCTACAAGTAAGTTTATTTCTGCAGATTCACATTTTATTGTGGTTCAAGGCTGAGCATCATCATCAGTTTTTGTAGCCTATTTGCCTTTAATGAATCATTGCCAGAGTACTGAGATTGAAATYGTATCGACCAGACCTTGGCTCTACAGCCACAGTGCAATGGTCAAAACTGAAGCAATATTGTCAAATCTCATAAGTGATAGTAACTACTGTGGGCGGCTGTGGCAGAGTGGGAGTCATCCTGGAACCGGAAGGTCGCCAGTTCAATCCCCCGTCCAGCTGTCTCAGTTGTTGTGTCCTTGGGCAAGATACTTCACCTCAAATTCCTCTGATGTGTGTCCCATCAGTGTATGAATGTGATTGGCACTGATTAGTCTCCATAGATGATTGTACTGTACATGTTAGCTTTGTAGGATATCTAGTAGAGTGCTGTGTGAATGGGTAAATGAGGACACAGATTGTAGTGTGAAGTGCTTTGAGTATCCTGATTGAGTAGAAAGTAGCTATACAAGTACAGTCCATTTACCATTACTGTTTCAAAGTAAATATTTGTTAGGATGGCTCCAAAATCTTTTTCCTAATTCAGCCTGGTTTTAAGAATCTTCTGTTGGAGAAGTTTTCTTGGTCTTCCAGAGTTCTGTTCAGAAAGGTATGTGTCTGAATRAGTTAGATTTATAAAGACACATATTGTAAAAGAGGAAACTCTGATTAATTACCCCATAAAAATTAATTTTGAGTAAATCTGACTTCACGATAAAAGGCTGACTTGGTTTTAGCAGAAAAAGACCAAGACAATCCTTTTGCGGATGAGTCCATTGGGCCTCATGCAAGAACCGTCCGTACGCACAGATTTGTTCTTAAGTTGTGCGTACGAGTGATTTAGGATAATTTG